ACATCTGGTGAAAATTTCATGTCATTAGCACCTCTAGTAATATAATTACTGAGAAAAATGGTGACACGTTCAATACTTATTTTACCCGCTATATAAACCTCTGCAGGAACCAGCTGACAAGACTGGTCCACTTCTGGCTTCAACTTGTGGGTTCTTGTCAAAGGTCTGTTCATGCAGTGTTTGTTGGGGCCCCCACTCTTTATGCTTTACACTTGTATGAATAGTCTCTCTCTGTAAAATTATTGATCACAAATAGTTTGGAAATGACCTTTAATCCTTCCAGGATTGGTGGGCAGCAGCAGTTGCTTTCTGTTGTTTAACTGCTGATGTCTTTCCATCTTGGCTGTATCAACCCAATCATCTTCACCTTTACTGATATGTTTAAAATCGTGTCATGTGCTAAAATATGTTCATAACAATTTTTGTTGTTCAAGGATGACATTCAGCTCTATTATTTGCTCTAATGTATTTAGTTACTATAAAGCTCTGATGTTTAGTTTTTTAACATTTTAGGTTAAATTTGGCTCATTTTAGAACCTGGTGAAGATTATTGCAGTTTATTATTTTTTATTTCGTTCTGATATGTAAAACAAACTGCATGTCTGGATTGAAAAGGGTACTTTACTGTAGAAGTTTCAAGCATCCAGTCCAGCAGGGGGCGACACTGAGCTAACATGTTTCTTTCCTCACCGCCAACAAAGCATCCGTCGAAGTTTCTGTCTTTCTTTTTTTTTAAATTTTATTTTTATTTTTTAAAGCAGCTGCTGAAGATATCAAAGTTTCCCCCGCTCAGAACCAGAACCATCAGTAGAACGGGTCAGTATCTTTATTATTGAGCAMTAATATCGTTTGTTAGTTCTGTTTGTTCGGTTCTGCTGCAGCTCAGCAGAACAGAGTCTGTTTGTTGTCAGAAGTGTTTGTTCTTCTCAGGTCGATGAATGTTGTGTTTCCACACGGCCGAAGGCGAAAACGAACCCACGTGTTTTTTTTTTTTTTGTTTGTTTGTTTTTTTTATCTGTCTATTAGCAAAATATCTCATGAATTACTGGACAGTGTTTAATGAAACTCCCAGATAAAACAATGGATGGAGGACTAACTAACTTTTGGAATCCACCTGAAGATGGCTGGCATTACAAATCAACCAAAATGAAAATAATCCTCTCAGTTTCATACATTGAGGTAAAATCAGGTGTAGTAGCTGAGACTGATCCCCAGTTTATAATCTGAGCTTTAAGCTTTACATCTGTGTTTAAAAGTTGGGCATCAACTATTGCAAATAAAGTGAGCAAAATACTTCCTGAACCTCTGAACAAATCCCAGTGAAACTTTCAGACAGTAATAACTAAATGTACATCTACTGGTTATCTTTTAGAGCAGTGGTTCCCCAACTTTTTGTCTTCTGACCCACTAAATATTCATGGCAAAAACTTGTGACCCCAAATATTTCTGGTCTGAGTACACAAACTTTGTTAATAACCCTAAAAACACAGGTTTTTTGACAATCTAAACAGCTAGTACACAAATATAAATAATTGTCCTGATGCATCTCAGTAATCCAGGTAAAAAAACAAAAGGAAAAAAATTGTATAGGTCCTCTGGACGGGTTCTTCTTTAATGAAACGTTTCGTCTCTCTTCTAAGAGACTTCTTCAGTCTGAGAGTTTCAGGCAAAATTCAGGCTTTT